TGTGGACCCTCTGCAGCTGAAAGAGCCGCATTTTGAACCTGCCGGCTGCCCCATGGGGAGGACGAGGCTGTTGGCTTCCTTGAAGATTTACAGGCTGGGAAACGCTCAGGGGCAGGTGCTGCCATCCTTCGGGGCAGTTAAGAGCCAGAACGGAAGGCGATGTGGATTTTTGCGCGGGAAGGTGTGGGGCTTGGCCGGGAAGAGCCGTGCCCTTGGGTGCAGTCTAGTGGAGAGTAGAACTGCCTGATCGGGCTTTCTAAGCTGAGACCGTTCCAGAAACATCACCAGACCCTTGCTTCCATGAAGAGGTCGGTGGGCTCGAACCTCTGACCTTGTGGTCAGCACCCAGTGCATAACCACTGGGCCACCAGGGCTCATCCGTGGAGGTGTGGGGGTGGGGTGGAGCATGGAGTTCCTTTCAGAGGTGATGAGAATATGACTGTGCTGGTGTTCCCACACACCTGCAAACACATTAAAACTCTGACTCGTACTACTAAGGGGGCGCTGTGTAGATATAGCAGGAGCCCCGGAGCCCTGGTAGCTTACTAGCTAAGCCTAGGGCTGCATTCCTCAAGGCTGGCAGTTCAAAACCACCAGCCAGCTCCAATGGGGAAAGATGAACTTTCTACTGCCATAAACAGTCAAAGACTTGGAAACTCTGGGGGAGTGGTTATGCCCTGTCCTGTGGGGTCACTGTAAGCCAGCATCCCCTCCATGCAGTGAGTTTGGGGTTTTCATGGTTTGGGTATGTGGTGTGTGAATTGCATCTCAAGGAAGTTGTTTACATTTTAAAAATGAGTTTTGGGGAAAAGACTGTTGAGATACTCTTCCTGTCCCTGAAGTATGATCCCCCACCCCGCCCCTCAACTAGTAGAGGGTCCCATCCTGGTGCTAGACCCAAACTGGGGTTCTGCTCATGTATGCGGGAAGGGGCACCCCTCCTTTCTACACCCAGCTGCTCTCACTGTCCTGGGACACTGGCAGAGTGCCTGAGCCCCCCCCCACACACACACACACACACAGACCACACTGCCCTCTGCCCCTCAGCCTGGGAGGGGGACCATAGGCTCCCAGGAGGAGCTGTGACCCCCTGGACCTGTGGGACCGAGCACCCTGGGCCCCCTCCCAGCGTGCCGTCTCTCCCACAGAAGGGACACCGAGCACAAGGCCAAAGCAGGCAGGATGCATGGCATCCTGGGCAGAGGATGAGCTGAAACGGACAGCGGTACAGGTACCAAGGCCAGGAGAGGAACCGCCCCTCCCCACTGGACAAGCCAAGTTGTGTCCAGCGAGGCTGGCGGGCGGCTGGTCTTCTCAGAGCAGGGGCAGGCGGGTGTGCGGTGGGTCCATACCTGACCAGGAGCAGGGCAGAGGCGGTGGCTGAGAGGGGCGTGGTCTCCCTCACCCTCTGCCCAGGCCTTGACCCGGCAGCCTCCAAGCAGAGACACAGGGGTGAAGACACACTCCCACTTAACCTCTCTGCGTCTCCATTTTGCATCTGGAAAGTGGTACTCTATAGAGTTTGGGGGAAGGGGTTCCTCCTGTCTCCCGCCACCCTCCCATCCCCCCATGACTGGGACCACACCCAGGTTCTGTGCTCTTCTCCCATCCCCACCCCCACTGTCTGTAGAGAAGGGCTGGAGGTGGGGGGGACCTGGACCCTGAAGGGGGAGGAAACCAGAGTCTCTCAGGTACCAGATGGGGCAGAGAGGGGACCTGAAGGTGGGAGGCCCGTGAGCTGAGATCCTGGGACAGGGCAGGGAGGGGGTTGGGCAGGCCTGGGGGTGTCCAGCGGGGGTCTGGAAGAGAACAATTAAGCAAATGACTGCAGTGACCATTTGGAAACAATTAGCTGGGTGGCTATTACCGCATGACGCACCCCCCCACCTGGCATGGGGTGGGGCACCAGGTCCGTGGGTGATTGCCTCAGCCCCAGTCCTGTCCCCCTCAGCGGACCCGAGTGTCCTGGCTGGGTTTTTGGGGTGGGAAGTGGGAGGCCTCACTCGGGGCACGGAAAAGGAGAAGCTTGGGAGAGTGGAAGGAGACCTGGGAGCGCACTGTTTCTAACTTGGCTTTGTGCTCAGGGCCTGGGGGCTCAGCGACTCAGCTCTGGGTTCCCTGGCACCCCCTGGGGTCTGAGGCTGATGGGGGTCAGGTGGGGATCTACTTCCAGGGCCCAGGAGGAAAGAAAACACAGCCTACTGTACCCCTCCCCTAAAATCACACTAACCAACTGGTTTACAAACCAACTAGCTGATATCACCCTAACAAGCTCACACCCTGGTTAGCTGGCCCACACAGAGCGGCCTCGGTGGAGTGCCAGTTGGCCAGCAGTGTTCCTCTCTGCCCACTGCCCTCCTCCTGTTTTCAAACCCCCACCCCGCACCCCGTGAAAGTCCATTTTGTCCTCTTCGTTGATGTTGGCTGCCCCCACTCATGGCCACCACCACCCCACCCCGTTCACCATGGGGCAGGCCCCTGGAGCTTCCACTGACTGTTTGGGGGACATAGATCTCCAGGTCTTGCTTCCTCGTACCTCACGGAGCACGCAGGTGGGAGTGGGGTGGGGAGTGGGAACAGGGGTACCATTGAAAGTTTTGTGGCATCACAGTACGCCTCACAGCATGGGTGCACTGGCTGAAACCAAACTCCCACCTCCCCCATGGATGGTGAGACCTCCACTCCAGGGCCTACTTCTGAGGCACCAGCCTGCACTGCAGAGAAATAGTCCAACACCCAGAGGAGATGCCACATGCCCAAGGTCACAGGCCAGGAAGGGGCATGGCTCTCCCCCCCCTCCCCTCCCCTCTCCCTTCTTCTGTCTGTCCCTCCTTTCTTCTGTCTGTCCCTAGCTCCCTCCTCCTCCTGGTCCCTCCCTTCAGTGGGGTGGCCTCTCAGAGCTGGATGCTGTCTGGGTGGGGGAAGCCACCTGGGAGCGCCCCCTCCCGGCCCCCACTCTGGGTCGCATCATGGGGGAGGGGGAGGGAGGGGAGTAGACCTGGAGCCAGAGGCAAAGGCTGCTTCTTGATGAGTGGGAGTGGGCCCCGTTTCAAGGGCATCCTGGTAGCCAGGGCGTTAGGAATGAGGCAGGAAGTTCCAGTGTCCTCAGGCCCATGCCAGTTGCCCCTCCTTGGCGGCCTGGAGGGGGCTACCCCAGAAAGGGGGTGTCCAAAACCCTGCTGCTCCTCTCTCTTCTCTCTGGGACTCTCACCCAGCACTGCCTAGTGTGTTCAGTGGTCTCTGATGAAGTGAACAGCCCTTGCCAGCCCAGGTTTGTGGACGGAGCCCCAAGGGGCTGCTTCCTCCTGGGACTCTATCCTGGGGGGCTACTTGGGGCTGTCCTCTGTCCCCTAACTGGGACTCCTCCACCCAGGGTCACAGGCTCAGCAGACTCCCACACACCTGCTGGACAGAGGGATAGACAGACCCAACCGAAGCTCCTGCTTGGAGACAGAGATGCCAGCCCCTGGAGACCCCTGGACAGGGGGTGCTCTGGAATGGGCCCCCTATTTGTAGGAGGTCATGACAGTTACAAATGGACAAAGGCGTGTGGCACCGAAGCCGCCTAGCCTCTGTTTCTCTGTGCAGGTCAGGGGCCTGGATCGCGTGTGGAGGTGGGTTTCTGACGGCCCCCGTGCCGCTGCGCCGCCACAGCGCCCCTGACACCCGAGCAGAGACACCTTAACCTGGCTTTTTTCCACTCCCTTCTCGCCGTCCCTGTTCGTGGGGCCGAGCTGCGGCTCTCCCACCGATTCCCACTGCTTTATGGACCACAGCCCAGGCCTCGGCTCTCCCTCGGCTCTTCCGTCTCTGGCTCTCAAAGGCTTGGCGTCCGGGCCCCTCGCTCGCTCGCTCGCTCGCTCGCTCGCTCGCTCGCCCTCCGCCGCCTCCATCTCCAGCCCCTCTCTAGCGCGGAGGGACAAGACTCCTCTTCACCGCCGGGCCGCGCACCAACACCGTCCACTGGGGCTGGGCTCGAAGGTGAAGGCCCTCCGGCAGGCGTCGGTGAAGATCGCCCGCTCCTTCAGGCAGACGGAGCTGGCGAGGACGCAAACCGGGGTCCCCACACGTTCCCGCCTCCTCCTCCGCCCTCCAAGGTCCCCTTATTATGCGCCGCCTTTCAGGGGCGTTCTTCGGCGCGACTTCCCCGCACGCTGTACTGCGCGGACATCCGTCATCGGCGGCGTGCCCATTGTGCCCGGGGATTGACGGGGGGCGGGAGGGGGTGACAGGGCCTGGGGCGGCCCCTCCTGGCCTCGGTCTATAATTTTCGGAGGCATAATTGGC